ACCTTGAAAGAATAATATTAAGTGAAACGAGTCAGGCAGAGAAAAAGAAATACCACATGCTCTCACTTATTGGAGGGAGCTAAAGATGAGTGAATCAATTCACACACATACATACATACATACACTCACACACACACAAAAACAAACAAACAAACAAACAAACAAAAACCGGGGGGGGGAGAGGAAGATATAACAACCACAATTTTTTTTTAAAGTTCTTACAACAAGCAAATGGAGGGGACACACTTGGGTGGGAGGGGGGAGAGGGAGGAGGGAGGGAGGTTTCGGTGATGGGCCATAATAATCAACTACAGTGTATATTGACAAAATAAAAATTCAAAAAAAATAAATAATATACTTCCAATTAGAATAGATACAGTTATTATTTTATTCCTCTGAACTTGTGGCTGGAATCACCGCAAAAGAGATGGCAGAGGAGTTCCCACAAGGGAGTGTTCCAAACCATCCCAAGATGGGGCTGGTAGGGATTCCAAAGAAAGAAGCACTAATTGCCAGGGTTATCAGTCCAAAACATTTATTGGAGGAACTTACATACAGAGTCCTGCAGCATATCCTCAGGACAGGCAGCAAGAGAAAAGGGTTGTTCTACTCAGGTATGTCTGCAGCAAGGAGGCCAAGGAATGGAGTTTACATGAGGGTTTAAGGAATTTGGCCAATGGGTGGGACCAGTTTCTTTTAGTGGTTTTGGGTAACAATCTGGATATTTTTATCAGTAACTGGGAATGTTTAAGGCCCCAGTTTTGTTTCAAGCCTGCTGGGAGGAACCTGCTTCTGGCTGGGTCACAGAGGTATCAAGGTACTCTGATTTTTGGTCAGGATACAGAAAGAAAGCAGAGGGAATTGGAGGACCTTACAGTTATGCTGCCAATTTATTTGAGCTTTCTTTTGTTTCCTCAGTCATGTGTTTTCAGTGCAGTGGCTTGCAACTCTTTCCTTAGGTTTTTCAGAGATAATATTTGTTTGTTATAAATTTATACAAAGCCTTTTCCATTTATTAACTTATATTTAGGAATCATTGTAAATTTACTAATCCTTGCTAGATGTTTGTAGATTCATTAGAAATTTCTATGTACAGAAAAACTCCAGGCTAGGGGAGAAAGATGGCGATGGGTCTGGAGCGGCCGTGCCAGGAGACAGCGCGATCCTGAGAGCTGTGCGCTGTAATACCAGAGTATTAATTGCATTTCCAAGAGCAACAAAAGGCGAACAATTCTTTCAACAATGATCCTACATCGACAAACAAGCGGGAGCAGGTTTGAGGTTTTAGGGCCGACACAGAAGAGGACTCCTGAGAGCGCCCAAGCCCGGCTGCAGGAACGAGCGATCAGCCCAGACAACAAAGGCCAAGAAAGCCAGCAGAACCGGTGCAGAAACAGAGTGAAACGCGCCGGACTGGCCCAACTCTGCAAGCTCTGTGAGTCACCCCCACCCCAGCCCCACTTGCGGGGCGAAGCCTGACTGCTCCCCACCTGACTGGCTCCCACCCACCACACCAGGCCAGGCACCCACAACAGAGCTGCCTCCATTTTCTTGGGTGGGGGCGGAGAAGGCTGGCTTAGTGAGGACAGGCGAGCCATCTCTGCTCGGCGTGGCTCCGGACTGAGACGTGCCATTTGCTTACCTCGACGCGGGGCACCCCGGGGCCTGTGG